TTTCTGAATGTTAACTACATGCTTCATTTTACAAAAATTAAAGTTCTTCTTGTCTTCTATTACTAAAATGCATAACATATTAAAAGTTTTGATTTAATTTGCAATATTCAGCCTTAAATAATCTACACCCCTAAAACAAAGTCCATAAATAAGACATTATTATTAGTATTATAAAAAAAGGGGGTGTCTATATGTACACCCCCTTGTGTGTAAAAAAGGGGTGTACATATAGCATTGCCCTTTGTGTAATTTATTAAAGGGGGTGTACATATAGCATTGCCATAAAAAAAATGTTAGTACTTTCCAATTTCCAGTTAAAAAGTTAAACTTTAAAAAATTAATTGAAAAAAGATCATAGGCTAAGGCACGTAGAGGGGGGTCCATGCTAATTAAATGCACCATGTGGGGGGGACAATGGGACCACTCTATAGCTAGTCCTATAAGCGGTATCTGCTCAACTAAGATGTACTAATTAAGAAAATTGCAAGCTGTTTCAATGAATAATTCCTCCAACCATAGGGCGCCACGTGTCACACATATATGTTTCATAGCCGTATTTACGTGCACCTGGCACACCTTCAAGACTTTTACTTTATAAAATGAATGTTCATTTTATGAAATAAAATGCTTATTTTAAATTGTTTTGGCACATCTTGTTAGGTGTGCCAGGGTGCACGGTAGTAACACTGGTGTTGTAGTTCCTACCATTCAATTTCAGGATGCTCATGACCTGACAAAGCAAATTTGCAGTGCCCTCTCTGTCGGGTTATAGTTTCGCCAATAATGACGACAAAATACGATCTGATAATTGAGTTTTTTTTTTTTTTTTTTTTTTTTTTTTTTTTTTTTTTATATATTAAAAGGGGGTGTCTATATGTACACCCCCTCAAGTGTAAAAAAAGGGTGTACATATAGCACTTTTCTTTGTGTAATTTATTAAAAGGGGGTGTACATATAGCATTGCCCTATTAAAATTTAAATTAGTTTCTCATTATCAATAGTTGGATGCTATGTAGTGTAAATTATATATGGCTCTTTATAACATGCATTATTAAAATTATAATTTATGTGGCATTATAATTTTCGAATTAGTCGGTTCTCCTGTGGATCCGGAAACCGGAAGGTCCTTGTACAAAAAAAAAAATGTACATCTGTACCCAAAAAAAAAAAGAAAAAATGTACATAGAGATGTACATAACACTCACATGTAGTGGGGGTCCACTTAATTTTTTATTTTTGGTAAGTCCTACTCAATGTGAATGTTATGTACAATCCTATGTACAATATTATGTACATATAGCATTACTCACATAAAATTACAGAGTTGTTTATGATACCTAGCCAAAAAAAGAAACCCAAGTACTGTAAATAATTGAGAGGAAATAAATGTGAGTGGGTCGACCTATTCCTTGTAAATTCTATAGTCAATGTGATAATAGCTACTGTACAGTTGTACTTATGTAATTCTCACCATTGTTGGCCAAACTTTGTGGTTATGTTGTATAATTGTTATTTTAGAGCTCACACTACACAGCTGAATGAAAAACCATGAGAAACATGTTTTTTTATGTGGTAGCGAAAATAATGAAGAAAATGATATAAATCCTTGCCAACATGATTTTGTCTACCTGAATAAGTAGACATAATTCATCTAATATTCTCATATATAGTCAATAAATAAATCAAAACTGTGACAATACTTTTGTGAACTTATAGTCATAAAAAAAATAGTGTGGGCACGTTTTGAAGGTTGGACCTAATATAGCCAACTATAGCAAACTATTTCAGTTCGATAATGATTTTCGAATTTTCATTAATAATTTTGAGTAGAAGTAGGAGAATTATTATTGCAGAAGTTGAATTCGAATTCGAGCAGAGTCTGATGTCAAACGTAGAGCTCAAGCTAAAATTTCAAAATAACCTAATCATGCTCGAGCTACAGATCATCATAAACCTGTAGGTTGGGCGAAATTCCTAAATAATTTACGAAATTCGAAACAGAGAGCCAAATGTACACGGTTCATCGATAAAAACTTCATTATTGAGACGTGGAGCACATCAAACCTTATTGGTGACAAAATTTGCCGTCACTAAGTTTTCATCATTGGATCATACACATTCACACATTCATATATAATGCTATGAATTTCCCTAGATGATGCAATGGTCCCTCGTTTGTCACACTACAAACACTAAATCAACTTCTAATAAACATGCTTTAGTAATTGTTGTTCTTACAATAATCCGAAACTAGATTAGACCATGTGCATTTACACAGATGTAAATAAAATTAAATATTATAAGTTTTTTTTATGTATTTAATATTAAAATTATGAGTTCAATAACAATATTATATTTCAAACATATAGTATTATAAGTTATATTTATGCATATAATATTAATATTATAAATTAGATAATAGAATTTTATTTTAAATTTTAATAATTGATTAGAATAAAGAGTACATACGATTTGATTGCATACAAATCACTATATTGATTGCATAAATTGTAATAAAAATATAATATTTGTAATTTTGAGTGATCATGACCAATTAATTAGCTGAAAAATATTTAAATTTATTATAAAAATTGCTTATGTGATTTTGAGATTTTACTATGACATAAAAAATAATTTATTTAAAAAACAATCCCTTAATTATATAAAAAAATATAATATTGATTTTAGTGTAAAATATAATTTTATGTAACTTTTATATTCATTTAATGTAAAATATAATTACTAATTTTAATACTAATTATTATATGATTCAATAAATACGATTATATCAGTAAAAAATATAATTATTACTCAACTAAGAGAAAACATAATTTGTTTTATTAACCTAGAAAGGTGAAATGAAATACTCCCTCTTATTTTTATTATTTATCGTTTTGAGAAGCAACACGCTAATTAAGAACTTTTTTTCTTGCCAATATTAACCCTATTTAATGGATGTTATGGAAAACTATGGAGATGAGATGTGAAGAGACACTGTGCATTCATGGAGGGTTAAAAATAGAAAAATATGAACAAAATAGCTAAAACGACATTTATTTAATCAATGATCCATTAAGCCAAAGTGACAAATAATAAAAATAGAAGGTACTCCCTCCATTTTGAAATAGGCGTTTAAGGTTTTTGCACAAATATTAAGGAGACACTAATTAATAAGTAAATTGATTAAACTAACCTTATTTATTGAAAATCACTATGTATTTATGTTATGGTTGCCGCTATAAATGAGGGTATATTTGATAGAAAATGGAATAATTTGCCTTGGCTTTGATGTGCGCCTTATATTTCAAAAAATTTGAAAATTCCTTATATGCCTTATATTTCAAAATGGAGAGAGTAGTACTTATTATTAATGAGAGAAAAATGATACATAGCCACATAGGTAAAAATGATACATAGCCACATGGTAAAATTGATTAGGTAAAATTTATTCTACCTTTTTTAAATTGCTTTTACTTACTCATCTCTGGGCTTCCTGTGTCTTTCTTCGTTACCTTTACATATATGATTCTTCTTCTTCTGGGTAATGGGGACTCAATTCATTTTTCTCTAAGGTTGAAAAACAAAATTGACTACGTTTCGTGTGACGAAAGTTCTTATCACCCGACGCCGTATGATTGACGAACGTCCCAGTTCAAAGTCGTCGTGCTCTCTTCTCCCAGTCGCACTTCAATGCACGCCGCTCGGCACAAGTGGGTTCCCTACAATTCGTGCGGTTATTAAGGATTTCTCGCTGAATACTCTCTGACACTACTATGCAATCAGGTGACGTGAATTCATCATCCCCCCATTTTTTTGTTTGCGGAAATGTAATCGAAATTTAA